ACGAGATAACGTTTGCAATTTGCTGCGGCGCTGTTTTGGTTTTAGACTGGCCAGACTTGCCTGTAGCGCGCGTCAGTCCCAGGCGTCCAATTTCCCACGCCTAGGGACAGGATGAGCTGCCTGGCAGGCATCTGCCTGCGAGGGCTCGATCCAAACACGCACGTGCCCCATCTACCCCAACCAGGAAATCAATTTTGTGACAGTGACCGTAGTGCGAACCAATCAGTGTAGGCTCCGCTGGCCCAACAAATGTGTACATGCAGTAGGGGACGGCGGCAGTTGATCGACATGTCAGCGGCAGTGCGTTAAAGTTGACAGCACCGGGCCGAGAAACACGACAGCATGCATGATGCATACTGTACCTCCCGGTCCCAGCCATATAGGAGTAGGAGACAGGAGATATACATTGTCATATTTGTTCGCGCCATTGATAAACCACGTGGTAAAATATTATTGGTAATTTATTGACGAGAAAAAATACTATTTATTAATTAAAAAAATATGACTTATGAGTCAAGCGAATAGGACGATGGAACGAGGTGACATGGCGCCGCGCACTTCACATACTGGCTTTTCTTCAGGTTTCGCAATCATCTCTTACCCGCAGCTCCGTGAACCATGTCCACAGAGAGCTGTTTTAATTAATGATTTATTTGTGTCGAACAGGCATATATATACTACAATCATCATCATTGTGTTAAGGGAATCGATGCAGACAAGCGTATCGAAGTAGGTTAAAATCACGCAACGCGTGTGCCCCGTACGTAATTATCCTTCCGGACCGAGATACGAGGGAATTGACTATCCACCAACATTGAATACGATGGAAAAAGAGTAGGTGGTAGTCACTTTAATCTTAAATTAAATTTCTCTAAGTGTGATTGATTTTTTAGAAAAAAAATATATTTAAGTTAAATACATACACTTTCAAAACACATTTTATGAAAAATCTAAAATAACTAATTTGAAATTATAGATATTGATTAGAGAAATTTAATTTAGAACAAAGCTAAACGGACAATAATTTGAAAGGAATTGAGGGAGCAGCAGTTTAGTATGCGACGACTGCACGCCTGGTTGCTCGTTAAGGTAACGATCTCTATTGTGGTTTAGCATGATGCCGTGGAACGTACAGCGCTCGCCACTCTGCTTTTCTACAGAATACAAATACAAACACTAAGGGTCTTTTTACAGAGCACAGAAAATTCACAGGATTTGTAGTGAATTTCACAGGAAAAACATAGAATTAGAGAAAAAAAAATCTCATATTCTAAATTGGGCCTAATCCTATATACATGTAGGAACACACGCACACATATCCTATCAGAGTGAGAAAAAAGCTAGGTCAAGATTAAAGCGCACATCTCATTAGCTATAAATGTGAGTACAATAATCTCAAAGCCATATAAAGATCTTTTTATTGCACCTAATACATTTAATAGATAGTCAAAGCAAGATGCTGGGGCCAGGTACAAAATAAAGTGTTTTTATTGTAGCAAAAACTCCTAGAAGATTGTCGTCAGGGCAATAAAAAGCATAGCGAGTCACACTCAATAAACTCAAGCTTAGGAAAGAGAAGGAAGGCAAGACAAGTTGTCTCTGTGCGAGAGTTAAAACATGTGAAGGTCTAAAACCCCTTGTTATGGCACCTTAAACGATATAAGAGTTACTCCATCTGTCTCATAAAATTGCTTAAATATATTTTCTGAGAAGTCAAATATTTTTACTTGACCAAACATATATAAAATATTATTATTTATGGTACATAATTAGTATTATTAGATAGATCGTTGCATATATTTTTATAATAAACTTATTTAATTTAGAGGTACAAATATTACTATTATTTTCTACAAATCTAGTCAAACTTAAGAAAAGTTGATTGGCATAAATCTTATAGCGATAATTTTTATTAGACGGAGGGAGTGAAATGTACTGACTAATTTAGACATCATCTTATTTTGTAGTTTTCACATGTAAGTTGTTCTTTCTTTATATATTCTCTCTCCTGCTAAGAGAGATAGAGGAGTTATGTCTCTTGTACATTAGGACACACAAAGAGCTTAGCTCTTCTCTTTCCACTACCTCAAAGATTTTTTGTTTCTTCCTTCTCTATGTGATACCTAATAACAACTTAGAATTAACCGTTGAAGGTGCCATAAAAGCGAATGAGAGGGGGGGGACGCACCTACGGACCTCGATCGAGAAGGAAGAACAAAAAGTCTACTACCGACACTCCTGTGCAAATAGTGTGCTTTATTGAAAAAACTAACAAAGCATATGCAAAATTGATAGTAACCTGAGACACAATGTAATATGCTCAGTATTCAAAAAGGTTTAATTTATAGTCCAATCTCAAAAATACTTTGCATTTAAACGGGACTAAAGTTTGCATGTTGTGGTTCCACAAATATGCACTCACCAATTTGTTTTGTTTTTTAATCAATATTTTATTACTAACCCCTTCTAAAAACAATTTTCATATATAACCCTTTTTCTGTTACCCCACATGCAATGGCGCGACGGAGGACGCCATGATGGCGTAGACCATAGACCCGTTCCTATACGTGGAACAAGGCCGGATCCACCCTGTCGTGCCAAGCGGGGTAGCTCACATAGTGGCCCTGTTCACTTACTCCATATTCAACTTGTTACTTCTTTTTTTTAATTTGGAACAATATTTTTCTTTCACAAAAATTTAGCTGAAGGCAGTTGTTTTTCGACCGAGTTTTTTAAAAATTCTCGCCAAAATTAACAGAATTCGATAAGGCATGTGAAATCTAACATAATAATCTCTCGAAATATAATGGGTGCTCTAAGCTATCAAATATCATTCCCTTCTTATTCTCCACCTCCTCACTCTCTCGTAGTAATCGCTTGACAAACAATGTCAATCTGGTATCACATATTTCTGGTCAGCCGGACTAAAGTCCATGAAATTAGGTACTTGATGAAATGCGTTCAAATGGACATCCTTCAATTGCTTCAATTCCAAATTATTGTACTTCAATCTCGTGTGCCCGTACCTTAAACATTCAAATGATTCCATGGCTACCTCAGCCAATGTCATCCTTGATACTAGGGCCAAACCTGTACTCATCGTCCACCATATCATCCCAAGTACTTGGCCTAGAAGTATACTCATCATCCGAATCTAGTGAAATGGTGAAGTCCTCATCTTCCTCCGTTGATTCACCCTCTACTTCGTCATCCTTAGATCCTTGGGAGATGTTATCGCAATCATGGGTTCCATCTTCATTCGCATCCTCATCCTCAAACGCGCGTCTACATCGAAGTCATCATTCAAGGCACCCATCTGAAATGACCAATCAACTTCCCTAACAATAATTGTGCGCACCTCGTCTTCATGGGTTAGCTTCTCTATAGGCTCCATATCCACATTATCATCGACACACACCACCAATGGACGAGAACGCTTGTCCACAACAACTTCCAAGCAAGTGACATTACAACTCTTTGCAACTTTTTTAGTTACTCAATCTTTCTCACATGAAAAAGCTATTATGACATAGTGTACTCTTTCCTTCTCACCGTCAAATCTACCTTATCAAACTTAATGGCCACCCAAATTTCTCCCGGCATCGCTTAACGAGCATCGAAAGTTGGAGGTGTACTAAAGAACTGAACTTCTTCGGTCATCATTTCAAACTCGTCGTTTCCTTTAACTTTCCCACCATGGATCCATCTACAACAATTCATCCAAAACATCAAGACCAAGATTAACTACAAATATCAACTAACAACCAAAGTCATGAACACAACCTTAACAAGGGCCATTCAATGAAGAACAACATATACCACATATATCCAAATAATTCATATGCACTTACTAGTAAAATAACAAATAAGAACCTTACAATGATGAAAACAAATCCAACACACAAACCTATCATAAACCTTCATAAATCAACTCACTAGGTTCATGCAACTCATAGTTTACATCGAATCACTTGCGCAGAGACTACCCTAAACCTAATGTACACATCCGATCCTACCAAGCAACGCACAACATTCAACAAATCCAAAGTTCCTAACCCTAGCTAGCAAAGTATCCATGAAGGGACCAACCAGCAAATCGAGGTAGATAGGAGTTCTACCCGCCCTACACTGGATGAGGGAGCCGTCAAGGGGGTGGCTGGTGGCACCGAGGCAATGGGAGGTGCCCTGCCTAGATCACCGCCGGCGGCGACGTGTCTACGTACACGAGCAAGCTAAGAGAGAGGGGGGGGCGAATGGGCACCTCTATATAAGCTGTCGCGCCAGCCAAGGTGGGCGTGATAGCTCTATCGCGTCGATGTCGGATGTGCTGACGATTATGGGCCCGTCTTGGTCCACATGGGAACAGTCTCACGGTCCTGCCACTTCAGGCACCCTCCGTCGCACTAGTACATGTGGTGCGACAGAGCGATATTGTTACGCTAGCGGCACTATTGTGACCAAAAGGGTCACATATGAAAATTGTTTTAGGTGGAGTTAGTAATAAAATATTGAATAAAAAGGTTAAAAATATAAAAAAAATCCGCGCACCACATATGCATCATTCGAGAAGCTTTACCCCTCTAAGAAATGCATGAGCTCAACAGTCAACACAGTTGTTGAGATTTTTCTCCATCCAATCATCCATCATGATTTGGTGTTAGGATATGATCAAATTTATAGCTTGCTAATAAGTATGTAGTCCCTACATACATACATGTGTTTGTGGCCAAAATATAATGGATGTTATATTTTATTGTATGGAAATTTCTCGAGAGAAAATATCCGATCGCTCGACAACCAGTACGCTGCTGTGTTCCATCTACCAGCTACAATGCATCATCCAACAGGCTGCATGCACGTCTCTATATGGTACAACCATCTCCGCATATATAAGTGCACGCTGAGTGGTAAGGTTGGGAGCAGCTAGTAGCAAGCATATCTCTCTTCGTCTCATCAGTAGAGAAAGGTTGGGGGCGAAAACAAATTAATATATGAAGACCTCCGTAGTCGTTGCTGCTCTAGCAGTGGTGCTGTTCGCAGCGCAGTATGCCTCCCTCGCAGACGCCTCCAGCTCCAGCCCCAGGGTCATCATCGTCGGCGCTGGCATGTCCGGTAACTAATATAACCATGCGCGCCAGACGACGACGTTTCTTGCTTTGCATTTTTCCATGAAATAACGTTGTTATTACCTCGATCTATCGCATATATATGCAGGGATCTCGGCGGGGAAGCAGCTGTGGGAGTCGGGGGTGCGGGATCTGCTGATCCTGGAGGCGACGGAGCGCGTGGGCGGGCGGATGCACAAGCACAACTTCAGCGGCCTCAACGTGGAGATCGGGGCCAACTGGGTGGAGGGCCTCGGCGGCGACAATCTCAACCCCATCTGGCCCATCGTCAACAACACGCTCAAGCTCAGGACCTTCTACTCCGACTTCGACAGCGTCGTCGGCTGCGTCTACAAGGAGAAGTACGTATACATATTTATATATGACGAATGAACGCACTTGATGGTGGTTAAAACAGGCATGCACCCGGTCGATGCGTGGGTGTGCAGCAACAAAAAGAAAACCTCCAAACTAATTAAAATGCAAATGATAAATAAACATCTGCTGAGGGGTTAAAACATGCAAAAGTTATGATAAAAAAACATGCAAAAGTTAAGAACATTATTGTGCTTTGCATGCAGACAGTACATGCATGTATGAGATCGACGAACATGATAACGATATTTTTTTTTAAAAGAAGTCATCAGCCTGTTCGTTTGTTGGTTTCTAGGCTGATAAGCCCGGCTGATGCTGGTTTGCTGTGAGAGAAAAATACTGTACTATGATTGATAAGCCCTGGCTGAAACCAACAAGGATTAATAGCACTCTGGCAGAACTCTTATTATCACAGCTGAAAACTTATGATGACCGGCCGGGCGTTGGCCAATAATGCATGAGCTGGTATATGGTGATGAACTGACGAAGGACGATCGATGTTTTCCTGAAAGATGCACGATGACGATGAACAGCATGTGTTAAATAAATGCTGAATGTGGCACTGTGACCTGTGACTATAAGATGTTTTGAACCATGCATGTTTCATGGCCAGCAAAAAAAAGGAAGAAAAGAGAATGACGCCTGATGTTTACGTACGTCGCCGAATCAACAGAGAATTAATTTACTAATTGATAACAAATAAATGAAAAAACATTTGTATTTACTTTGTTTCAATACAAAAGTAGTCATTTGTCACAATGTTTTGAATATCCTTCGTTTAATTATGTTTTCGTCCTCGCGCTCGCACCAGCGGCGGTGGCCTGTACGACGAGGAGTACGTGCAGAAGAAGATGGACCGTGCCTACGAGGTGCAAGAACAGGGTGCCAACCTTACCAAAAAGATGCACCCCAGTGGCCAGGACGACATCTCCCTCTTGGCCATGCAACGGCTGTTCAACCAGTACGCGCGTCCCGATGCTGATGATGTGCTAATTAATCTCGATATTTTTTGGTCCATAAATTTGTCCCCATGATTGCTTTGCAGCCAGCCGAACGGGCCGGCAACGCCTGTGGACATGGTGGTGGACTACTTCATCTACGACTACGAGTTCGCGGAGCCGCCGCGCGTGACGAGCCTGCAGAACACGCAGCCGACGCCCACCAACGCCGACTTCGGCGAGGACAACTACTTCGTCGCGGACCAGCGCGGGTTCGAGTCCATCATACACTCCATCGGCAGCTCCTACCTGTCCACCGACGCCAACGGCAAGCTCTCAGACCGCAGGATCCTGCTCAACAAGGTGCTTGCTGATGCCGAGCTTCTCGTTCGTTTTCTACATTTAATTTTTTTTTGAGGAATTAATGATTGCGAGTCTTGTTTGCTTATATTATTAGGATAAGGAAAAAAGCGAACCACTCGACCTTAAAAGAAATCAATGGTTTGAAAAAAGACTATAAAAATGTAAGTAGAATTAGATTCAGGATATATCGAAAAGATTTTTGCATACAAGTAAAAAAATAATAATGAATATTTGTTCTTTTGTCGATTTTAGATCGTATTTTTTTACACCTCACTTTGTTGGTCCACTAACACCACACATATATATATTCACACCAATGAAAGAAAGAATAGATATGATTAATTCCACATAAAACAAATATACTAGCATACATTCACGTACGTCAACGTCAGATTAGACTCTAAATTTAGGGCATAAAGTATACTATTGCAGATTCATCCCTGAGTGCGTGTGCCGGAGGAACGACAAGACGAAACAGAAGGAAACCACAATTTCAGTATATAACTCTGAACCTGTTTCACTCAAACAGCAGTTGGAATCAAAACCCAAGAGTATATATTGAATAATTTCAACTTCAACGATTATACATACTGACGAAAATAATAAATAAAGAATCGTCCACGTGAAAAGGAAATGCCTGTCCATGCATGTATAGCGCCACTGAAAAGGAAAACTCAACCGTCCACGTGAGACACAGGTACTACACAGCCCCATGTATAATATAATAACGACACTGAAAAGGAAACTCAAGAATCGTCCACGTACGTCGAGACAATGTCTGTGTATACGTACATTTACGCTGGCTGGCTGTGTCCTGTGTATATACGGAGTATATATATATCCGGGATTTGGGATCCATATAGATACGGATGAAAGTGAAAGCCATGGACCATTAAGTTGTTTAACGTCCTTTCTCCCTTAATAAACAGAGTGTTGTTGAATATATATAAGCAAGCTTCATTTTGTGTATATATATAAAAAAAAATACTATATGCAGGTGGTGCGGCAGATCGCGTACAACAAACAAGGGGTGGTCGTAAAGACGGAGGACGGCTCGTCGTACAGCGCGGACTACGTGGTCGTCTCCACCAGCCTGGGCGTCCTGCAGACCGACCTCATCAAGTTCACGCCCCAGCTGCCCGTCAGTAGTTCATCACTCCTACAGTGCTCGATCTACTACCTGCTTAATTAATTAATTATACCATGAAATTGACAACTGATCGAGTGAATATAAATAATACTCTGCTAACAAGTAGCACCACTGCTCGTCAGTTCTGGAAGATCGCAGCGATCTACCGGTTCGACATGGGCGCGTACACCAAGATCTTCCTCAAGTTCCCCACCAAGTTCTGGCCCGTGGGCGAGGGGAAGCAGTTCTTCGTGTACGCCAGCAGCCGGCGCGGCTACTACGGGATGTGGCAGTCGTTCGAGCGGGAGTACCCGGGCGCCAACGTGCTCATGGTCACCGTCACCGACGACGAGTCGCGGCGGATCGAGCAGCAGAGCGACAACCACACCAAGGCGGAGGTGGCGGAGGTGCTGCGCGACATGTTCCCCGACGCCGACGTGCCGGCGCCCGACGAGATCGACATCTTCGTGCCGCGCTGGTGGTCCAACCGCTTCTTCAAGGGCTCCTACTCCAACTGGCCCATCGGCGTCAGCCGCTACGAGTACGACCAGCTCAGGGTATGTCTGTCGTCCGCCCGGTTGCTAATATATAGTTACAGTAATTCAAATGTTCTTTCTTTTTTTTTTTTCTGATGAATTTTATATATTTAAAAAAAGGCTCCGGTTGGGAGGGTCTACTTCACTGGCGAGCACA